TTATCCAAGCAGCATGCTTTGCTGATTAGGTTTTATCTCGGTAGCAGTGGGAACAGTATGTGTGTCTTCTACATCCAAAGAGCAGAAAGTGTACCTTACTCTGAGTAAAATATGGTCTTTGACCTCAGTCTTGGCACTGAATCATACAAAAGGTAATGGTTGCATATGATCCTTCTCCTGACTTCATAGGAGGAGGGGGAGGATTGCAGGAAGCCCTCACCTAATCAGTTGCTCAGCAGGAGGAGGTGCATCTTGCAAACTCACTATAGAATCACAGGAAGAAGTGGAGTGAAATGACAGGAGTTACCACAGATGTTTGCCACACTGTGCCATTGAACACATGAAGAGGAAAAGGCAGGGTGGCAAAGGACACACACCTCCAGAAAGCAGGCATGGCAACAGCAGGACTTTCCTAGGAGTCATTTCTGAGGTGGTGTTCAAAGTCTGTGTGCCCTGTCTGTCTGAGGTGTTGTTGCTACTTCTCCCTTCCAAGACGCTGAGAAAGCTGATTGAGTCTGAAGGGAGGTCTAAAAGGCCAGAGATGAGGCCAGACCTGAAGTGGAGGTGCCTCCTCAGCAGATGGATAAGCTGCATGCTGTGAAGTCTGGTTTGCAGCACAACAACGATGTGAATGAAAATGAGCAACGTAGTTCCATCCCTGCCTATGTTTTGGGATCTGTTTTCTGATGGTGCTTTGGGTGCACTCAGGAGAGGCAGACAAGGCTACAGACTTGTTTGTGAAGAAAGCAGCAGGGACATAGGGTCAGTCTCAGGAGGGAGGAGGGAAGAAAGTGCAGTAAACTATTGAATAATTTCAGTTGCCTCATGAAACCTCTCCCCCAAGGATTCTCCTGGGGAGCAGATAGGAGTGGAATGCATCTATATGTGTTTGCAATGCAAGGGCATTTGTACAATGAATGTACATAAAATTAAGAAAACACAATGGGCTACAATAGGGAATTAGAGATTTAAAAACTTTGAATTATGAATCACCAAAGCTTCAGAGGTCCTATGGCCAAGATGCCAGAAAGTAGTTATCTTTTACTTTGTTATCTGTAAGTCTGCTGTATGAATAATAATTACACAATGTGACAGAGGAAGGCCATGTGCTTTTATTCAAGCTCAATCTTTATAGATATGAGGCCAGTATAAAAGATGAGCTACTTATTTTAATGGTATTACAATTTGATTAAATATTAGACTATGTGCCTGCAGTGTCTTCTTTCTAAGCAACAATGAACTGGGCTGGAGGAAATGTTCTTCGCTTTATGCTCTATGGCTCGCGATCTGGTTTATTTGGTTTTAGACCCTAAGGCAGCCAATACCTTTTCCACGTTTTAAGTAGTCTTCTTGTATAAGCTCAGAGAATGAAAATTGCTTTCTCTATGAACCTCTCTATAAAATCTTCTGCTGTTGTTTTTCTAACTTCTGCTATAGGCTTTTCTGCACTTTGTGCCAGCACAACTTAAATTTTGGTCTTACAGTCTATCCTTAACCCCTCCTTACTCCCATTTCTCTTTGATGACTAATCACACCCAGCTCCTTATGAAGTAGCTGACAACACTGTGAACTGCTCAACTGAAAGTCAGCCAAAAGTCAAAATGTTCTAAGCATTACAAACATTCATATTGCATCTTAGTGGTTTTCCTTCCTTCCACCCTACAGGATCTCATGACCCCATAGATACTAGAGCAAAACAGGAGAGGTTTTCAATGGAAAAAATCAGTGTGTCTTGGCAGCTTGTGAAAGATCTTCTACAGGGAGTTGTAGAGCTGTGTGGAGGAGTGAGCAACCCATCACCAGCAGCATGATTTCCAATTCATTGAAGAATGTTGAAGAAAATAAAAAGTGAAGCAAGTGTCACAGCAAGGAGAGGGGACCTAACCTTTAAATAGCAGGCTTTTTTCACCTCTCTGAAGCCTGACCATTGGCTTCCTTGCAGAAGTAGGACAAAGGGCTTGATGGGCCCGTAGTCTGATCTTTTATGGCAGATCCTAAGGGCAGGGGGGGCTGACAGGCTTGTTAGCATTTGACCCAATTTAAACTACACAGGTTCTGAGGAACGAAGACTCACTGAGAGGTTAAGGAGAGGGAAACCTGAACCAAATTTATATTGAGAGAGAGGTGCCATTGTGTTCTGCTTGCACACCTGATGTGGGAAAACTTCATGGCACAACAGAACTTGAGTGGGCACAAGGCGTTCCTGGGTGCTGCATGCAACACAACTCAGCCACCTCTGCTCTGCTGGGCAGGTTTGCTCCAGCCAAAGCAGACACCTCTGCTGCTTTTCCTGGGAGCAGTTGTTTAAGCCCAGATACAAGGGGGAAGTGGCTTACAATGGGCTTGGTTGGGTTTCTGTCCACTTTGTGGTGACATGAGTGTATCTGGAAAGTGAAAGAAGACAAATGAAAAAACAGCTGTAGATTGGTATCCAGTTCACCTCCTGGAATGAAGGAAAGTATTGACATTGGGCAGGAAGAAATGTAACTTAATGTAACTAAAATCCTGCAGTTGAGCTTGGAAAAGTTTTGTTATAATTGCAGTTGCTGTCCAGTGAGTTAACTTTCAAGCCTAATTTCACTGCTAAAATCTCAAAAGAGCCACTGATTCCTTGGAATGAGAGCCAGGATGAAGGGAAAAAAACCCATGAGAGTGAAGAAGAGCTACCCAAAGGCAGCATGTAGTATCTAAAGCTAGACCAGCTTGGAGGGAAAGACTGGAACAAGTTAGATGGAAGGGTTTAGATGAAAAAAATCCAGGGACATAACACAACTTACTAGAGCCCAGGCACGGCTGGGTCTGGTGGCACTGCTCAGCAGACCTGAGTGGTCTCATTAGGATGACATTTGTGCCCAGAAGACCAGTTGTCTTAGAAGAAGAAATCACTTCCCCCCCAACATTCCCATAAGAGTGTCTGTGGGACCTGTACATAGAGGAGTGGGAGCTCAACCTCACAGTGAGTTTATTAGATTTTATACCTCCAATCCCATGTGTTGTGCTTTATCCTCTTGTTTAATGCTGTACGTACTATTGATTTTATTGAGATACAGGTGAGTGCACAGGTGTCTGTGCACTGAACTTTATTCAAGCAAAAATACTGTCCTGTATAGAAGACACCTAAACCAAAGCAACCTAGAACTACCTGCTACTTAAGGTGAAAAGGTCAGAACCACTGTACTGAATTTTGGGTTAATCTTAGAAGCAGTCTTAACTCATACATCCTTCAGAGAGGCTGGTGAAGCCTCTGTCTCAGACTGCCTGGAGACACCCATGCCATTGGGCCTCAGAAAAACCAGCCTACAATAACAGAACAAGAGGGTACTTCTCCACAGTAAGAGCAATTGGGTTTGAATGAGAGTCAGAGACTGACTTGTCAAGCTCTTATCATCTGACTTACAGCTGAATAAGCAAATACATATGAGTTAATAAACAAACCAAATTAAACAAAACAATGTAGCTCACAGTGCAAAGTCGAGACAATGACTTGTCTCCTGTAAAATTTCTCTGTGGATCTAGCAAGGTTCAGGTTGTTCCTGAGTGCTGCAACTACAAGAATTGGTGATTGTGATAGAGGACCCATCTTCTTCTATTTTTTTTAAATTGGAACGTGAGAAAATTGCTTAGTCCTTGTCTGCTGTCAGTAGAACACTACAGGAAGCTGAGAAGTAAAAGAGCATAAAACTTGTTAATTTGAAGGAACGAAGAGAGAGAGAAGTTGACCTAGGTGGCCTCTAGGTAGGAATAGTTACTCCATGTACCTCCATAAAACAACACATACTGGATGAAATAACAGGTTCCTTGTTGGCATTTCCTTATCCTTGTTGAACAAGGACGATTGTAAATCATAAAAGGAAGAGATGTGATTCACTCTGCTAGGAGTTAAATGAAAGGGGTCATAGGAGTCCACAGTAAGCAAAGGATGAGATTGTAATTATTACAGACAGCATGGACCAAGACTAGTAAACAGATGAAACAGAAAAAGATGAAAGTGCATATTGAATTCTACCAACAACTTCCTTACGATATACAGATGTCAGAATTATCTGACATATGCATGGATCTCATCCCTTTGGAGACGAAAATCTTAGAACTTCAAAAGAATCATCTCTGCCCCTTTAAAAATAGGAGCCGCTCCCGGTGAGAGCTGCAAGTACTTTGGCATCGGTTGATCCTAAAGAGAGGGGTTTTAGCAATACGAGTAAAATAACGCTGATTTCTTCCTGGACGCGGCAGAACGGCTAGTAAATCTTAAATGAACTGGGAACTAAGCGACATTTTAGGGTTTTGATGTGAAAGGAAGCGCGGGTAGAGAAGAAATAGCTCTCCGTCCTACAAACTAGCGTGATACGGGCGACATCCGTCTGGGAGCGGGGATGGAGCACGCACAAAAAGCCATCCGCTGCGGGCGGTGGTTGTTGCTTCGACGTTCGGATGGGGAGAAGCAGCAGCCGTTTCCCCCGGCAGGATTCCCGCAGGAAGCGCTCAGCGCAGCCGGAGAGCCGGGCGGGACTCGGCCCATTCCGGCAGCGGAGCTCCGGGAGCTCCCTCCTGGGGGGGCCAAAGACATTCCCGATAGGAAGTGGCACCGTCTCCTTTTTTATTTAAATAAAGCCAACCTCCCCCGCTCGCACCCGGGGTGGGGTGGGGGATGGAGGAAGGAAGATTAAGCTTTAATCGCGTATCCCGAGGATTGCGGATAAAACGCGCGACAAAGCCGCCGGGGGCTCTCCCGCACCCCACGCGCCGGGAATGCCCGGCTAAGGCGCGGGGCGGGGGGGGGGAGAGGCCACGCAGGGTTTAAATGCCCCGCGGGGGCGGTCCGGCAGTGCGGCACCTCCCGCCCGTCCCCGCCCCGCTCAGCTGACAGCGGGGCCGCCGGTGCCCGCCCGCCGGAGCCGCTGCCTCTCGGTGCCCGCCCGCCTGCGCGGCCCCGCCGGGGATGGGGGGCGGCGCGCCGTGAGCGGCCCGAGCCGCGCTGCTGCCGCCGGGAGCCGCCGCCGGGAACGGGCGGGATGAGCGGGAGCGGCGCCCCCGGGCCGGGCGCGGCGCCCTGCCGCTTCGCCCACTACTTCGTGCTGTGCGGCATCGACGCGGAGAGCGGGCTGGAGCCCGACGAGCTGGCAGGTGAGCGCCGCCGCCGGGAGGCCTCCGCCCGCGCCCGCACGGCCGCGGCTCCGCCGGGCTTTGGGGATGCGCGGCTTCAAAATGTCTGCGCCCCGCGAGGAGGGAGGGGGGCGAGGGGAGGAGAGGGTCGCCGCGGCGGTGGGAGCCGCGGGGAGGGCGCGACTTTGAAGGATAAAGCATCCTCCCGGAGGGGCTGGCGGAGCATCCCCCCCGAGGGCAGCTCCTGCCGGGATGCGCCCTCCCCCGCAGGCCGGGCTCCGCCGACCCGCCGCTGGCCCCGGTGCCCGGTTGGTGGCGGGGGACACGCAGCCTTCGCCCGCTCTCGGCCCAACCGTGGCCGTCAGGGTGCGACTGACGGGAGAAGGGTACCGAGGGTTATGGAATTGGAGGGAGCCGAATGACCGAGCTTTCTGTCGGGGCAGATGCATTTTCTTCTCTATCTGCACTGGAAAGGAGGGGGAGGGATCTGGGAAGAACTGAATAAATTAATGGAATCGCATCTTTATTATGCCGGTTTATTCACATTTTATGTCTGTTCAGAAATAGTCCTCCTGCATCCTTCCATCCCCCACCACCCCAAAATTGTTACGGAATCAGAGAACAAAATTATTGCTATAGGATCTAACACATTTTCTAAAACGTTTATTTTTGGTGGGTTCATGGCTGTATATGAGCCGATTATGTTGGCATAAGGCAGCAGTTCTTCCTCAATGTCACTTTTGTTTATGTAAAAGAAACTAAGTCAGGTTTCTACATATAAAATTCGATTGACTTCAGGCTTAATAGCAGGGCTTAATTGCATGGAAGCTAAACGTTTCGTCATGATCTTACCAATTTGGAAGTGCTCAGGTGCCTGTGTTTGACCATTCCTGTGCGTTTGCACTGCAGTCGATTGAGCTGTACCTGGCTCAAATTGGAGGCAGCTGTACTGTCACAGCGAGCACCTCTGCCTGGCCATGAGATCCTGGCTGCGGGAGCCTGGTGAGGTCTCTGCAGCTATTGCATCAGGAAGTACCTTGCCGTCAGGTTGTGCAAGACAAAGACTTGATGATCTACATCACTGATCAATGTACACTGGTTGAAGTTCATGTTTTTGTCATCTGTAAAAGGGGTGGATGCACATACCTGACTTTCCAAGGAGGTTTATCTTAATGCACTTTATCTAAATCTCTACCCTTTGCAGTGAGTGCACACTGGAGGTAACCTCAGGATCTCCAAGCTGAAGCATTAGCCAAATGTGCTTTAATCTCTTGGTTTGGGAGTTTTTTACATGTTCTAGTGACTGCAGTTATATGTTTTCAGTTTCGCTGCTTTTAGTAGAAAACTCTTGGCTCATCACCATCTCCCAGCTGATGGTGTACAGGGTTTGATTTGCATGATATGATCTACTGGGGTTTCAGCTACGTAAAGTTTGAGTCAGCTCTAACTCTTCTATCCAAAAAGAAACTGTTTTTAAAGCCGTGTTGGCTGGGAGGCTGTGCCTTCCCTGATGAGTACCCAGACTCTCAAACTGGTCTCTTGCTGATTTTTTTGCACCATTCCCCAGGGAGATGGACAGGTGTGTTCTTGGGGAGCGCTGCTCAGGGACAGCCTGGGTGTGGTGGGTTCATGCAGTGTAGTGCCTCAACTATGGGGCTCATCTTTCGTGGTCATTCGGTAGGTTTAGCTGAACTGCTCCAGCAACACAAAGCAAAAGGCATCTCCTTCTTAATTTTTCAGTAAAAGAAAGACATTTTGGCATGTAATGCAGCTATGAATGATTTCAAAGAGAAATTACCAAAAGTAGTTGTTTTTAAAGCAGTGACTTTGTAAGTGGCAAGGTCCAGCAGGATGATTTGTGCATACAAACATTTTTGGAAATGCCACTTTGGGAGGCATTCTTAATACCTAGGGGGGGTTGGAATATGATAGAGGAAGAAGTGGAGTAACAGAAATATGATGGGACTTAATATTGCCACTGAGCAATGTCGTATTTTTAGGGACTCGTGACAGGAGCTTTCTGCTATCAGCTGGGAGCTCAACAGTGGGAAATGCTGGGGAGGAACAGGGAGTACTGGGAGCCACGAATATAATGCAGCCATGAAAAAAATAACTCTGGTTTGAGATATAGCTGAGAAAACATTTCTGTTAAAGCCTGGGGAGTACTAATGCCACTGTAGGCAGGCAGTAGTGAGAACCCACCTACAAATCTGTGTTACAGGTTTCAAGCACCAAGCTGCTAGGATTGAATTCATTGCCGGAATGGGTGGGGAGAAAGAAGCTTGAGGGAACAGAAAGTCTGTTGTATCACAGGAAACCCACAGATGAAGGCTATTCTTTCTGAAAATGTTCTTAAAATGTTTTGTAGAAAGAAATGATGCTGTTCTTTCAGTTTTGAGTTATGTAGCTGGGATAGCTAAGTCTTGCTATCCCTGTGCTTAAAGAGCTTGTTGAGGTAAGTCACGGCATCAGTGAAAAGTGGCTGTGACTTAAGCTGCTGCACAGATCATCCCCAGTTTAGCAAAAAAAAAAAGTCATCAAGAACCTGCTTATCTCCAAATCTGTGAATCCCTTAGCAGCCAGTGTACACAAAGGGCCTTGCTCAGCCCAGGTCTGACTGAGTGGAGCTGCGTTGGGGCTGAGCAAAGGGGAATGAGAAGAGACAAGAGGAGCTCTTCTGCCACCCTGGAGGCCCCAGGGCCTCTCCTGTGAACAGAGCAGCAGAAGTTAGAAAATCCTCGAGGGATTTTCAGCTTTCAGATGTATTTGGTGATCCTCTGAGACACAGGCAGCTCCCTGGGGCACACGGTGTTTCGTGGAGCTGCCGGTGACTCACCTCTGGCGTCATCTGGGAGCTCCCTGACCTGTGCCCTCTCTTTGCTGAGGACAGCCCAGGACTCACCCCTGCGTGGAGGCTTTCCTTGCCTGATGGCTTAAACCAAAAATCATTTTCCATAAAAACTCTCTGCAGTTAAAACAAACGAACAAAAAACCCACCAAAAATCCTCATCAACCGCATCAGACATGAAGTGAAATGTTTCAGTGATACTCTTGAAGGCAGGGCAAAGAGCTGCCTTTTTAATTCATCTTGTAGGGTTGATAGGTCTGTCCAGAAAAATTAAATAAAATCAAGGTTTTAAAGTTGTGTAAGGTTTTGACATGCTTTTAAGGAAGAGTAACTTGCTCTATAGTTCTTGTTCCACTGGATGCTCAGTGCTTAAAATAAGTTTGGTAGATGAGAATTTTCCACCAAGCAGATGGTTCATTTTGCTTAGATTATTTTTTTTCTTTTGCATGTATGATGTCTTCTTGTACAGATTTTCCTAGGTTTTTTTTTAACAACTTGCTCCGCAGCTGGCTTTTCATATGGCTGATTTGGGGTTTTTAAGTGAATTAATTTGAGAAGTTAAAAGCTGTTTACCTATTGCTCAGCTTGGTAGTGTATCCAAACACTCAGTGAAGTTGCATATAGATTATGATGTTGTCAAAACACTTGTGACACTGTCACAAAGCTCTTGGTCAAGGATGAAGGGAAAAAACATGCCAATTTCTAGGGACTTCTGAGAGGAAAGGAAACTAACTAAGGATTTTTTGGCACTTAATAGTTGGAGAGGTCATAAAAAAAAGCAGGGTATTTGATGTGAAATACCTTGAAAAGTGTGAAAATTTCAGTGTTGGTTTCAGTGCCCTGTTGAACTCCACTAAAATAGAATGAAGGGAGCTTTTCTCTCATACTCAAGGCTGATGAAAAATAAATTTCAGTTCACTTTCCTCTACATGCCTATCTGTTCCCAGGTAAAGCCGTTTTGAGACTATCAGCCTTGGAATTTTATGCGCTTAAATGAATCCGTTAAAGTAAATATTTAACATTGCATTTAACAGAAAGACCTAATTATTCATTAAATTGTTTCTATCAAATATTTTGTCATACTGTATAAACTTTATAAGCGTGTCTACAAGGCACAAGATTATTCTAGCTGTAGCAGCCTTCGCCTTTTGCTTTGAGAGCAAGTTAAATTTTGTAGTATTTCATTAGTGTGTCACAAACTACAATTTGGAAAAAATCCAGAATACACATGACTCAATTAAAAATAAAATTAAATATCTTTTATTGGGGAAGTAACTTAGTGCTCTGGAGGAAAGCACAGAATTAGGGATGAGTGTTTTGTTCCGCAGTGGAAGGACTGGTCTGTGCTTTGTTGAGGGTGCTGTTGGTGGAGCAGTTTGGAGGAAGAAAAGGTGTCAGAAGCCAACTCGGGAACTGGGGCCTGAAGGGCCGTATTGGATGCTGCTTACTGTGTCTTAGAACATGAATACTGGTGGAGTTGTGGTAGCCTTCTTGCTGTGTGATATGAAAAGTTTTATAGCTTTTTTTCCACACATGAACTGTAAAATATTACCTCAAGACTATGGTTGCGGTGAGGAGACATTGTAGTTATTGTATCTTGTCTAGCAAATGTATTTTACACTGTCTAGTTTTGACCATTGCATAAAGATTCACTGTCTTATTGTCCCATTCAATGTATACTTTAAAACTGCAGAGAGCTTCATTACTCTACTTTTAAGATCAAATTATTTTTTTTTATGATCAGCAAAGCTGAGAGTGCTTACTGTTCATGCTCATTGGAACTGCTGAATGTCTTGGAGAAAATAAACACTACTTCTACCTCATACTGTTTCCCTACAAATATCCAGATACTGGTAACTAATTTCTCCCCAGTGAAATGTTAAAATCCAAACAAGGCATATTGCAGTCTGGCTGACTTTCTTATCTAGTAGGCTCTTATTTTTAGTAAGCTAAAAGACTTTTCTGTCCTTGTGTGTGCCTGGCACCCGCGTGCTCGCTCATTGCAGAGTCTCCCCACATCCTGCACCATTCTCCATCGTGCTTCCTTTGTGCCAAGTCAGCACACAAAGTGCTCTGCCAGAAAACTTGGTGGCACTACTACAGCGATACAACGTCTTGTGCGCATGGCTTTTCTGAAAATAGGCAATTGGGTTTGTTCCTAGTTCACTGGAAA